TCTGTGAGTTCGAGGCCAGCCTGGTCTCCAAAGCGAGTTCCAGGAAAGGCGCAAAGCTACACAGAGAAACCCTGTCTCGAAAAACCAAAAAAAAAAAAAAAAAAAAGATGTTTTCATGCAACATATTTGGATCATATTCTTCCCCTCCCTCAACTCCTCACAGATCCTATCCCCTTCCCACCCAATTTAATGTTCTTTCTCTCTTAAAAAACAAAAACAAAAAAGACCCCATCCAAAGAAAGCAAAACAAACAAAAAGCACACATTAAAAAGCTAAAGGAACGAAAATAGACCGTGAAGTCCATTTTGTGTTGGCCAGCCGTTCCTGAGCCTGTGAAGCCCGTCCTTGAGTACGATGATACACTCATTGCAGAATATATTCAACTGAAGCAAACTGACTCCCCCCTCTCTCAGCACATATCAATTGCAAATAGCTTCTTAGGGGACTCGGTGCTGACTTGCCCTTCTTTGCACTAGAATTTTCTCTGGTTTGAACTTGTGCAAGTCTTGTGCATGCTGTCACACTCTGAGTGCACGTGTGCACCAGCCTCGGTGCAGCTGGAAAGCACTGTCTCCTTGGTGTCACCCAGCACCTTACACCCTTTCTGCTTCCTCTTCTGCACAGACCTCTGAGCCTTAAGGGGAGGGGTATGATAAACACATCCTGTTCAGGACTGAGCACTCCAGAGTTCCCCACACTCTGCACATCGTCCAGCTGGGAGTCTCAGTGTTGATCTACTACAAGGAGAATACTGATATGCTGCATGCTCATCCTGTGCACTCTTACCTGCAGTCATGGCTTCTATCGGAAACCCTTACACCTACCAGATCTCTAGCTTACAGTTGCTTGATTGACATTTCCTTCTTGGTATTTGTTTCAATCACTTCGAACATAAAATACCTTTCACTAAACTTATCATTTTGTCTTCTCTGAAGAAGCCTTATTTATTCCTGGCATCATTTTTCAAGAATTCTAATTTTAAAAATCTTTGACTCCAGCTAGGCAGTGGTAGCACACGCCTTTAATCCTAGCACTTGGGAGGCGGGAGGCAGAGCCAGGCGGATCTCTGTGAGTTCGAGGTCAGCCTGGTCTACAGAGCAAGATCCAGGACAGGCACCAAAACTACACAGAGAAACCCTGTCTCGAAAAAAACCAAACCAAACCAAAACAACAACGACAACAACAACAAAAACAAAACCTTTGACTCCTTTGCCTTCCAGAAAACACGTCTACTCTTTTCTTCCCAATGAAGCTATCCTAGACATCTTATACTGCTACTCTATCCCCACTTCCCTACCCCTGTCTCTCCAGTCTCTTCTCAAGCCTTAATCATTGTTAGATTTTTTTAAAATCAAATCACCTTTTAATTCCAAACCAATTCTGTCTCTATTGTTAAATAAAATAATATATAAACTCTCGTTGGACAGTCACAGCCCATCACAATCCAAGAGACATTTTTGCACCTTGCCACCATAATACTTGTGTTAGTGTTCTTCAGTGTCTCCTGCATCTCTCCCCTTCCCTATCTACATTCACTTGTTCCTCAAGACCTGTGCTACATTCTTCATATTGCTTGAAAAAAATCTAGTCTGGTCATTCTGGATGGGAGGGAATACTTTCTCTTGTTAAAACTATTGCATTTTAAATATTGACCATTTTGAAGTTATAAAATTCTTCCATTCAGAGATATAAATTTGTTTATGTCTAAAGTGTGCACATTGTGCCTTCCAAGAAGCAGAAACAATGCTTTGTTCATCTGTGTAACATCTGCTGGACCTGCCACCTGCCTTGTAAACTTTCTCTTGTTCTCTGCATCCTAACACCCATTGTCTGTTTGTCTGGTACCATGATATTATATCCTTTTAAGTACAATAGTAACAACACACTAGTCATCATTATGTATCTCTCCCCTTCCTGTATTTTTTCATTTTAATGACATTTCCATATGAAATATCTGCATAAAGTTGTTACAATAGGTTCTACTGCCAAATGAATATTCCAGTTTTCCTGTGGAGCAGTAGTAACCATTGCTCTAAAGCCTTTAGTTGCATTCTCAGTTGTCACATACTTGAGGTTAAGATTGTAAAGCTCTCATAGTTATTTGGTTCACCCTCCTTAGCTACAAGGAAAATTCCATGTAATTTGTTTTAAATTATACATTACCAATTTAGGGATGCTCAATATATTATACTGTTACTCTGGGCAATGAATATGAAGTTCTGTGCTTTGAAGACTTTTTGGACATAGTTACAGTAGTTAAGGTATCAAATCTTTTTTGTGGTTAAGTGGTAGAAACTCATCTCAAACTAATTTAATACGAGGGGGAATTCACTCCTTTCCAAAATTGAGTGGGTATGGCTTGATGCTCCGCTGAATCTCAGAGGATGTCACACTCTCATTTCTCCCCTTCTGTCTCCAGCCCCGAAACCAGCATATTGACCTCATTTTCTCCCACAGTACATGGATATTCTCCAAACAACCAAGGAAAAGGATCACTGCATATCTCTCCCAATGTCTATAACTCCAAAGAAATGTTCTAATTACTCCTATTTAGGTCAAACCAGCACTATAGACTGGCTAGAGGGATGAGCCACCTTGAGTGCCACTGTCTGGGTCAAATGAGCACTCTATTTGTAAGAAAGGTGTAGAGAGAGCTGATTGACGGCTTTAGAGCCACCTAGCACTGGCTGAAGATACCCACAAGGACAGAGGATATAATTATCAGGAGAAGTGGAAACACATGATGGGCAAACATTCAAGAAATCAAACTGCTTCCCTCTGCCACATTTCAGCCGCTGCCTATTCGGGACACACATTACATTTTACCTCTCTTCATATTAAAAAAAAATGCTTCAAGCAAAATAATGCTATCAGTCCTCACTAAAAATGACATTTAATCACAGTCACTGTGAGTTCTGTTCCCAGCTCTGAGTCTAGAGTCTCACACAGAAATGAACAAATCCTGCGTTTGGATATGACTCCACATGTTCCATGTCATCAAGTCAGCTACACAATCAAGAAAACAACTCCCCAGAATCCACTAGTCAATAGAAAAGAAAAATCAAGATAACAATAGTGAAAATGCCTATTCAGAATAGATAGTAGTTAGTGGTATTGTAACAGAGTCTATGCTGTGCTCTCATCCTGAGTTCCCCAGGCCAAGCATGAGTTATTTGGCCACCAGATATCTGGACATCCAGGACAGGCATCCTAAAGACCTCCGTTTTTCAGAGAGAGAGAGAGGGGCATAGGAGAAAATATCTCCTTTGAGGAGTGAGATACTTTAGGAGCTCCCCTGTGAACTTGTCATGATTACTGGGTCCTGTCAGTCAGCATAGCACTTGAATAACAAGTTTATCTCTGCTAGGTTTACATTTATTCTGGCAATTTTTCTCAAAACTCTGCTATATGCCATGAGCTTGACTCTTCGGAGCTCTGAGAACTAATAGCTAAGGTTAGCTGTAGGCCCTTGCCTTTGTAGTTCCAGTCTTTAAGCCACGGCCTAAGGTAACAGGTCTGTTGACCTAAGTGACATCAATCTTAGATTTTCTTTAACAGCTTGACTTGACCTTTGATCTTGACAAGTATGAACAAAAGCTGGTCTGTGATTCTTTACATTGAGTGAATCATTAACTGTACTAGTTTTGGGATTCTGCAGCAGGGAGTAATGTGAGTCAATTTGGCTTCATCTCCCATAGTGGTTTACAAGTTCAGAACTGGGCTGCCATCTTTACTAGCTGTATGATCCTATTATAAAGGTCACTGGCCTGTTCTGTGCTTTATTATCCTCGCCTGTATAGTGACTAGCTTACAGGATTGTCATGAGAATGAAATGAATTAATTCATATGAAAGACTTAGAACAATGCTTGTTACAGGCTAAGGCCAGTGTGGCAGCCGTTAATCAGTCTGGACATTTTACAAAAAGCTTTATATTTATTTTATGTGTTTGAGTGTTTATTCACATGTATGTATGTGTACCACATGCTTGCCCAGAGCCCTCATAGGCCAGAAGAAGAAGTTAGATTCCTTAGAACTGGAGTTACAGGTGGTTGTAAGCCAGCTGATTTGGGTACTGGGAACTGAAACCCAGATCTTCTGAAAGAGTAGCAAGTCCTCTTAATGGCTGAACAAACTCTCCAGCTCCACTCTTGACAGGTTCTGATCTTTTCTCACACAGTAGTTCTCATCATTGTGCTTTCTGTACCTTATGTGGACAAGGGGTTTGAGTTCAGTCTTCCTATTTCCACGTGACTGTCTGATCACCAGAAGGTGTAGGGAACTGCACAAGGCTGACCGACAGCACCACCAATACTATCCATTACAGAGACAGGCTTCCCCAAAGGAAACAGTAGATGCCACAGAAAAGGGACTTGAGGAAGGTGTTAGAGACATTTTCACTACCTCATGCAGTTCTCAACATTGCTTCCTGATACAAGTTTTGCGTTGAATCCTCCAAATGCAGCATCTAAGAAAGGGCTTTAAGTGTGTGTGACATCTGTGTGACTGAGTTGTAGCAAAAATTCCATGACAAAATGAAGGATTCCAAGAATCCCAAGATAAGGGACAAGAACTAGGAAAAGATGAGGGCTGACCCATGGGTCATCTGTGGTTAAAACCAAAACCCAAACCCGAAACACATAGCAGAGTTGTCCTTTAACTAAAAGCAAAGACGTTCACTGGGTCACTGTTTGGAATTCCATGTTAGTCAGTTACTGACCCATGAGCATAGGAATCTCAAGGGCAGGGTGGTCCCCAAGGGTAGACATTCCCAAAGGGAACTTGTGAACCCCTGGCAGCCAATATTCACTGCTGCTGTGGTTTGAGAGCACAGGTCTGGTAATAAGGCTCTTCCCAGGCCACCAATGGCTTCTTCTTCTAATTCCAATAACAGTGTTGAGAATGGCTGGTATTTATTGAATACGTACTATACTAGTTCTAAAAGCTTCCTGTAGGTGTTGTTATCTTTTGACACTGCTTTTATTTTCTCTTTCACTTACAGTGTATTTGGTGCCGAGAAGAAAAGGTTTGCAAAAAGTACTGTTTTCCATATTCTGACTGTAAATTCAATTCCATATTCTGGGCAAACTGCAGAGGTGAGTTGTCCTCATTTAAATTTTTGTGACTTCATTTCGGTGGACTTGCAAGTAGGAGAAATGTGCTACATTTAAAGGACTTGAAATGATTACATTGTTTTAGTAAAATTCTCTAGTCCGGGGCAGCTTTTCAGTGTGCACACTGGCCTAAGCTCATTGGTTGTTCCAGGTGGAATTGATTCAAATTGAGTCAGGTAGAACCTTTGCGGTAATATGCGGTAGTTTAGGTTTCATTTGTAAAAGTCTCTGTTGTGTAACGTTCATAACCTGGTTAAGGGATGTTTGTGTTCTGATGTTGTAGAAACTTTTGACTCTGTGTGTGTGTGTGTGTGTGTGTGTGTGTGTGTGTGTGTGTGTGTGTGTGTGTGTGTGTGTGTATGTATATAAGTACATGTTAGTACTGAAATACAGATGTCCTGAGACCAGTGGTGTTGCGCTAACATATTTCCTCAGTGAATGTAGTCTATATTCAAAATTACCATTAAGAATGATGACTCCTTAAGACAGCAAATATCATTTACCAAAAAGAATGTTTATATTTGTAATGTCAAATTTGGACATGTTATATGGTAGTTAGTTACCAAGGCAGAAAAACTGTACTAATATTTTTCAGTGAAATTTCCAGAAAAGCTAAAACAAGTGATTTTCCAAGTGAACCTTACTCTTGTAAGAAAATCCCATCAGCCAGGTGGTGCATGCTTTTAATCCCAGCACTCGGGAAGCAGAGCCAGGCAGATCTCTGTGAGTTTGAGGCCAGCCTGGTCTACAGAGTGAGATCCAGGACAGGCACCAAAACTACACAGAGAAGCCCTGTCTTGAAAAAACAAACAAACAAAACAAACAAACAAAAAACAAAAAAAAAAAAAGAAAGAAAATCTCATCTACCAACCAGTTATCTGGTATTTTTTTCTTAATTGAAGTGAAAATACATAATTCTGTCTAAATCTGTTTGCTTCAGGTTCTATAGGTCTTTTAAATCATCTGTATTTGTACCTTATAAAGAAAAATACTTTGCATTCAATATGAACAGAAACTCTGATCTCCTATTTTGTGTTTTCCCTTTTAGTTCCTTTCATTGTATTCCAGGCTAATAAGCTATATAGTCTGAAGAAGGGGAAAGTTCATCAGAGTAGAAATCTGCTTTCCAAACAGGCATGGGGGTCTCTGATGACAAAAGGCTGGCGCTTCCACCACAAACCACCCTCTATTGTCTCCAGGCACCTTCACAGAAAAGGGCAGTCTGAGGCATCTACTGTCTTACTTGTGGAGAAAGTACCAGAAATGAAATAGAAGGCAAAATAAAGGGGAAAATGGTGTAATGGTCTGCTAACCTCTTCTACAACACAGATGCTTTTAACAACAGTGGTTGTTGTATTAATGGTAGTCTTAGAATGTATGTGTATGCTATTGTAGTCTCATTTTCAACAAAGATCTGATAAAGTTTATCTAAGAATCTAGATTGGATGATACTAGAAAAGTTAAAAAACATAAGAAATTTTTGATCTGTTATTAAAATATGTCTCTTTTCATCAATTTCAGTTGACATGTTTGGAATCGTGATGCTGATACTGGTTGTATTATTAGCAGTAGGATTCTTCTGGTATTGCATCGCCTATTACTTATACATGCAGGAGTATGTCATTTTATCCTTCCTAAGTATTCATTCTGGGATGATAGCACTGAAAAAAACACTAAGATAGTTACCAGGACAGAATTATAAGATGAAAAGAAAGAATAACCGAGTTTCTGGTCCCACAACCACCTCCAGGGGCTTTTGCTGAAACCATCCTTCGGTTTGGCTGTTTGTGGTTCTGCTGACTAACCTCCATGTAGTTGAACTAGATGGCTGCATACTTCATGCCACACCAACTTCACATACTATTACACTGAGCTCCCCCCATCAGTAAAACTGAACATTTTATCTTGTGATATCCTAATAATCTTGTGGTTGTTATTTTGCTATTATATATGTTATTTTGAGATCTTTCAACCATTTTTCACTGTTTTTAGCAACCTTAAGTTTACTAATATTTATATATTGCTTATCTTTTGGAATTGACTTAGTCCTTTTAATCCTCTGTTTTTATATCTGAGTCTTTTATTATAGACGTTCTATACCTTTGTTAATTGAGTGGGCACAGTATTCATGAGAGGAATTTATTCTGTCAAGGAGATGTTGTTCTTGACAATCCAGTCATCCTGGTTGGATTCTGGGGAGATGGGCTCAGCGGCAAAGCACTTGTCCAGCATGCACAGGGCCCTGGGTTCATTGCACAGCACTGAAAAGAGATTCTTATAGAAACAGCTGTCTTTATCTCAAAAATGGTTATTTCACTTGATAAAATTATGTTAGCATACAAACATTAAAGCACTTTAAAAGTTTTAAATATTAATACAGCATAGATTTGATATACTTGATGTTTTCTCAAATGCACCTGTTCTTTCTCAAAGTAATTATTATTTGATTGCACTGAGTGTCCCCATCACTAGAAATATAATGATGGAAAGATCAGTACTTTACCTTCATGTGGGACAGAGATGAGTGAAGACACAATTGCTGTCTTTATTGTTAATTGACTTTTACATGATATTCCATTTAATTCAGTTGTGTTTTTCTGAAAATATACTAGTTCTCCTGCTGAGTAGATAAAAAAGAATTCAAGTCAGTAAAGCAGAGATGATAAAATATTTTATAACTACACTCTATGTAATGAATTAAGATAATTTCGACTATAAGCAATCTTAAACTTCAAATTCACCATCATTTTGAACAGGCGGCAGATTTTTTATTATGCGAGAAATGGAGAAGTTCCTGGTTCCGGCTGGAATGCTGCCTCTGGCAAGTACTTTCATCCATTTGATAGGCTACCCCGGGCTTTTTCATTGACTGACAGCCAGCAGTCATGCTCTCACTGTAGACCACAGTGCTGAAGTCATGTAGGAAGCATGACAACAGACTTCAATATCCCCATTTTGAAATACACTTTTATAGCCTCAATAGTTAGACGAGGATTTGCAAAATAGTAATAGAATAATTGGAATATTGACAGGGAGTGTTAAAACTTGTAAACCATTTGGTGATTTAATTACTTCCCTTAACTGAGGAATTCTCGTGGACTCCCCCTTCATCTCCCCCAGTACAATACCCAATGTGCAACTCTTTCCCGGGTTCTCAGGGCTTTCGCTTAGCTACTCCCTTAGTTGGGACTCGAAGTGTAGCTTCCTCTGGCTGGTCACCTTTGTTTACACAAAGCAGAGAATGAATAGGCTTCTGGTTTGTGGATAGGAAAATATGGAGTTTATACAATGTTATTTAACCACGGTGCTTCTCACAAGGCAAGTGGGAGAAAGAGCATTCCTTCTAACCCACACTGGCTTCTTAGAAAATGAATCTGGATGATTTTCTGGCTTAGGGAGTCACTGAGTGTCCATTGATCTTCTGTCGCTGAGAACAACTAGTCTTGTGGTTTCCTCAAACATTTGGCCTTTTCCTCTTTGTCAAATTCCCACCCAGGCTAATACTACCTTATGTTCCTTGACCCCTAAATATTAAAATAGCAGTAGTATTAAAGTCACAGTAGTGTATTTATGGCATTTGTGGACATTTTATGGTTAATGTTTTTGAAGATTAAAACTTTAATGTTTTTATTGGATTTTTGTTAAAAGTATTTGAAAGGGTGACTTTATTTCCCTTTTTCTTAGCATATTATGAATAAATAACTGAAAAGGCAGATCTTTCAGAAAGAGGAGAGCTGTCTTCAATGGTAAGCTTCTCAGAAATGCTGCAGAAAATTTCTGTACCCCCGACATGTTTGTATAAAACAGGAATATATAATTAGAAGTATTGAGAAAGAAACACTAAACCTGTAAATTCTATGAACAAATTTCCATCCCTGAACACATTCACCGCGGGCAGCAGAAGATCGAGATGTGGGAGTTTCTGCGCCAGGCTTCTCTTTCAATCTGGCCTTAGTCTAGCCAAAGGGCTACTGATAAAGGTTATCTTTTTACAAACCACCTATTACATTGTGGATTTTTCCTAGCTTGTATTTAATTTACTTCTGCCTTGGTCTCTATTATTTCCTACTAACTCCATGCTTAGTTTCTTCTTCTTTTTCAAGTTTCTCATGTGTAACCTTAATGGTTTGCTCTTGCTGATTCTTCTTTATCTTGTGGTCATTCACCCCTATTAACTTTTTCCTGAGAACTACCTTTGCTGACTCTAGACATTTCTGTATTATTATGGTCTCAATAAATTTTCTGACTTTCTTTTTGACTTGTTACAGTTGAGGAACATGTTGCTTAATTTCCACATATTGTGAATTTTCTAAGTTTTTTTTCTTCCCTGATTTTTAGTTTCAGAGTATTGTGACCAGAAGAGATGCTTGATATTATTTCAGTTTTTTAATTTGGTAAAATTTGTTTAATGCCTGAACATAACCTATCCTGGCAAATGTTTCATGAGTTTTTGACGATGTGAGTTCTGTTCCTACTGTTCTGTTTATGTCTGCATAGTCTAAACCATTGTTCAAATCCCACATTTTCTTGTGGGTTTTCCTTTTTTCTTTCTTTCTCTCTTTTTTTCCTGAGACAGGGTTTCTCTGTGTAGCTCTGGCTGTCCTGGAACTCAATTTGTAGACTAGGCTAGCCTCAAATTCACAGAGAGATCCACATGCCTCTACCTCCTGAGTGCTGGGATCAAAGGTGTGTACAACCACAGGCCAACTATTGATTTTCTTTATACATAATCTATACATTGTTGAAACTGGATATTGAAATTCCCTCTTATTTTCTATCATTTCAGTTCTATTTAATATTTGTTTATATTTTTAGATGTTTCAATATTGACTGTGCATGTTTTTATAGTTCTTAAGTTTTTTTTGTGATTTGACTCCTTTGTCACTGGATAGTTAGCATAAGCTGACACTAATAAAGATTACCACCAATTATCATGAAAGAAATGTAATAAATTCTCCAATCAAAAGGTACTGAATGGATTTTTAAAAAACCCCAGCTATGCGTTGTCCATAAGAGACTTGATTCTTCTTTAAAAACATACAAGAACATGTGTAAGAATTTCCATGCAAATAGAAATTGAAAGAGAATAAAGCTAACTATACTTAAACCATACAAAATAGAATTTAATAAAAAAACTCTAAAAAGATAGAATTGATTTTGAAAGTCATTGGGTAGTGTTCTTGATTAGCATGTACAAAGACCTGAGACCAATTCCAGCATTAAATAAATGGAGTGTGTGGGCACACGTCTATAGTCCCAGTACTTGGAAAGCAGAGGTAGGTGGATCAGAAGTTCAAGGTCATCCTTAGCTACATAGTGAGTTCAAAGCCAAAAGAGGATACAGGAGACTCCCCCACTCCCAGAAAAATAAAACACTGGAAAAGAAACAAAGATGGTCTTTATATAATGATAAAGATGCTAACATGATCTGTTTCAAAAGTCCATTTGTGTATCAGTGATATGAGATGGAATCTTTTTCATGGTTTAAATTTCTATTTACATTTGAGTAAAAATACACACATATACATATATAGTATTCGTGGTGTGTGTGTGTGTGTGTGTGTGTGTGTGTGTGTGTGTGTGTGTGTGTGTTTGTGTACTCTCTGTGAAAGCCAGAGGTGAACAACAGTGTTTTCCTCTGTCACTTTCCACTTTGTCTTTTGAGACAAGGTCCCTTGCTCTATCAGGGACTTGTGGTTTTGGCTAGACTGACTACAGTGGGTCCTTAGGATCCACCTGCCACCCCCATCTCCTCCCCAGTGCAGGAGTTACAGTTAAGCATCGCCACACCTGGCTTTTATGTGGGTGATGAGGACTCAGACTAAGGTCCCCATGCTTGTGCATCAAGCTTGTTTCCACTGAGCTATCTCCACAACCTGTCTAGTGTATCTTTGCACTTTTATTGACTGCCATTGGTTTGTTTGACCATTTCCTGATACCATAATAGTTTCATTGTGAAGTTCAATAAATAATTTACAGATATTAATGGAATTAAACTCTTCCCTACTTTACATTATTCTTCTTGTTTCTATTTTTTGTTAACTTTAATTTCATAATTTTTTTTTTTTTGGTTTTTCGAGACAGGGTTTCTCTGTTTAGCTTTGGATCCTGTCCTGGAATTCACTCTGTAGACCAGAATGGCCTCGAACTCACAGAGATCTGCCTGCCTCTGCCTCCCGAGTGCTGGGATTAAAGGCTTGTTAACTTTAATTTCAAGTAGAATAAATATTTGAATTCTTCCAGTGCTTGATATTTCACAATATTAAATGTATGGCCTCTGGAAACCATCATTCAGGACCTTCAGCAATACAACGTACAAAGCAAATCGCGATTTGGCAATGCTGTCTGCAGATGTGTTTCTTCTGGTGTCCATTCTTCTTCATTTCCCCTTTCTTCCTCTTCACATCCACTTTCTCCCATCCCTCTCTTTTCCACCCATATCTCCCCAACAAGTTTGCCAGACAAGCTCGGTGTTAGTTTTAAAATGGATTCCCATCCTTCCTGTCTGTACAGAGCATTTTGTTTAGCTCAAGATGCTATTGGATGACAGAAGATTGACACTCATACAACCTAAATAACTAAAAACCCAGCTAAATACCAAAACACCCTACACAATCTAGTGCATGGACTTATGAAATGAACATATGGTTCTCAAATGATGAACTGCAAATGCCCACTAAACATAAGAAAAAAAGTTCAATCTCACTAGTCATCAAAAATGCAAATTAAAATGAATGAGATTGAGCCAGTCAGAATGCACAGTCCTAAGAAAACAAACAACAATAAATACAGGGAGGATGCTTGGAAACTGGACCAACCATTATGGAAATCAGTATGATGGTCCCTAAACACCTAAAATAGAACCACCATGTGATCCAGCTGTACCGTTTTGAAAATGCACCCAAATGCATCTTGGTCATATCCACCCCACTCCCTCCCTCAACAAATGAATAAAGAAAGTGTGGACTAGGTCCCCTTATCCCCTGTTACCAATAGATTCGTGCTGCTTTCAACCTTGCTCAGACACGCTTCTTATTGCAGAGCGTAGTGGTTAAGCAGAGACAGAACTAACTGCTCAGACTGCTGAGAGTAAGTGACTGCGAGTGCTCGGTTGTGAATGAGGCATCTTCATCAAACCCCCTAACAAGTGCAGGGAATATCACAGACCAGGAGGACAGAAGAGTGTGACAGCAGAGGATGGGAACAGTGCTGTGACATGCCGTCTTCTGGACATGACGTAACGGTTGCATGCATGAGCCTGACGTACCTTTGGTTACCCACACAAGACCTGAAATTCCAGCCTGGAGGGGAGAGGGGTTCCCAGCACCCAATTCCTAGCTGAGGGGATATTAGCAATTAGTGGCTCCAAAGAAAGGGGAGTCATTTTTCTTTGAGGGGCTGGCTAGTGGTAGATCATCTGTGGACCAGCGATGACTCCACACCCATGAGCACATGAACCGCACTAATTGGATCATATGAGATGAATTTTGGAGGGAGATGTATTGGGAAGGTCCAGAGAAAGTCTGAGGGAGGGGTGGATGTGACTGAAATACATTGTATGGCTCCTAAAAGAAAAAGGAGTATAGGTACAATGGAGTTGTGTTCAACCATATGCAAGAAAATTAGAGCATTTGCTGGAAAGAAGGTGGAACAGAAGATCTTCATATTAATCAAAATAAGGCAGAATGAACAAGACAACCACTGCTGCGTGTTTTCTCTCATTTGTGGATCCTGGATTGTATATAGATACACAAATGCATTTATACACAAACACGTAGGAGACTGGAAAAAGGAAGGTAAGAATGTGGGGACAGGTGAATGTGTCAAAATACATGACATACTTGAAACTGTCCTTATGAAATGAGCACCAATAAAAAGAAGTAATAAATCATTTTAAAATGCCTTTGCAGGGGAACAGTGCTGTGGAGGAAAAGTTCCTCACTCTGCAGTTCCTCCCCACAACCACCATATACAGACTTTTAAATATATAATGTAATAGGCATAACTTTAAATAGTTTTAATTCTGTATTTTGTTAAAATATTAAATCACTGCTAAAAATTAGACCCAGTATTTCCAAATTACCTTTTATAAAGGAATATTTTGAAAGTTAAAACTGAGCCATTGAGGCATACTAGTACAAATTCAAGAACTAGCCATGTATTTTTTTATATTTGTTGGTAAATTTAAAGGAAAGATATTGAACTCCATTGTAACTAGAGTTTTCCTGCCTGACCCACAGTCAGGACAAATCTCTATCACCCGCCAGTCCCACAGCCGCTCAGACCCAACCAAGTAAACACAGAGACTTGTATTGCTTACAAACTGTATGGCCATGGCAGGCTTCTTGCTAACTGTTCTTACAGCTTAAATTAACCCATTTCCATAAATCTATACCTTGCCATGTGGCTCGTGGGTTACCAGCATCTTCACATGCTGCTTGTCATGGTGGCTGCTGGCAGTGACTTCTTCCGCCCTCCTGTTCTTTCTTTTCTCCTCTCTGTTAGTCCTGCCTATACTTCCTGCCTAGCCACTGGCCAATCAGTGTTTTATTTATTGACCAATCAGAGCAATTTGACATACAGACCATCCCACAGCACTTCCCCTTTTCTTTTTTTTAAAGAGGAATGTTTTAACTTTTACACATCTCCAAAGCCAGCTTGGTATATTTGGGAATTTGGGTGTAGCTTCTCTTACTACTTCCTGCTGGAGGGGGGTGCTGTATCTTATGGGGACACAAAGAAAATT